TGATGAGTGTGTGAACGCAGCCGTGCAGGCCCTGGGACCCGGGGTATGGATGTTGATTCTTCCATGGGGATGAGGGGTGTGGCCTTGAGATGAGGACAGAGAACCTTGAGGACTACAGCCTTGTAGAACCAGAAAGCAGAAGACATACTGAGTTCCTGAACAGGGAGGCGAGGAGGCTGGTCCATTTTGGTGGAAGAGGAGAAATACGGAGATGTGCAGATGTGCAGGCCAAGGTGTTTCCAGAATTGGTAAATAAGAAGGATCCTCAGATTCAGGAAGCCCAGTGAACCCCAGCAGGCCCAGGCTGGCCACTGGTGCTCAAAACAGAGGCTCTGGATGGGAGACTTTGCACCCTCTGGGTCAAGCGTCACAGCAAACCCTTGTGCTGGGGGAATGTTTGCTGAATGAATGAATGATGGGGAGAGGGAACAAGATGGGAAATGAGACCCAGATCCGGCTGTAGATAAGGCTGGGAACTCACAACCTCTACCTGCCCCTCCTTTCCTACCTTCTGAGGACCCCAGAATGGCATGGGCACAGGTGAGGGATTCTAAGGGATCGAGGGGGACCTCAGGCAAGGGTAGGGGAGTATCCTGGGGTATCCTGTGTACTCCTGGGGAGCCGTCACCACCTTGCCCCAGCCTGAAACTCCAAAAGCCAAATAAATACCCAAGCCCACGCCAGCCCTGGGGACCCCGACAGAGGGTCTGCAAGGAGGAGGCGGCTGGTGGCCAGGTCTGGACGCCCAGGGCCGGTGCTGGCAGCAGAGCGTTGACCGGGGAAGCACGGGGCCTCTCTTCTGCTCACTTCACCCTCAACATGGGAAGAACCAGCCACACTGTTTCTCCAGCATCACGAGCCTCTTGAGCCCAATATTCAGATATGTGCAGAAGTCGGGGCTGGGCTATTTTTAGCCAAGTCAGAGGGAGGTGATCTAAGTCTGAATCAGCGGGAGGGTGACAGTCCCAGAATCCACCTGGGAAGTCGGGCTCCAGGCGCATCCCCGGGGGGCCAACAGCCTGGCAGGGGCGGGGGGCGGGGGGAGGCATTCAGCTCACGACCCTGGGGACGCTCAGCTCAGGCCCCTGGGCTGGTGGTTACCTACCTCTTCTGATGATCCTTAAAGGCAGGAGAAATCTGACCCCTTCCGTATTGGTTCCAGGCCTGGGGGGTCAGAGTATCTGGTGTCGGGTCTGGGCAGCGGCCGGGAGCCTGTTGCTCACCTGTCGGGAAGGGGTGAGGAGCTCCTCGAACCTGGAGGGGGCCCCAACCTCACAGCCCAGCCTCCCCCAGCCACTCACGCCTGCTTCATCTCCCTCCGTGCACTCGGACCAGGACCTGCCTGACCCGGTTTCCTCCTCAACTCCACGGTGTCCGAGGGTCGTTTCCCTCATTTCACGCAGGAGAACCGCAACTGCAGTTGGGCGGCCCCGCAGCAGCAGGCTGGGGCTTTGAGGGGCTTTTGGAGGTAGCCAAAGAGAAGGGGGGCAGCGGCGGTGCCAGGACACAGGAGGCGTGAATCCACCTGGTTCTGGCCCCTCTGCTCCAGCCCCGCCCGGCACAGCCCCAGCTAAGAGGGTATCTTGGTGACCAAGAGAAGAAACCAAATTGGCAATGCCTCCCGGGCCTCCACAGAGACCAGAGGGGACCCTGGGTTACAGGACTTCTGCCTCCCGAGAGCTCACGGTTCTTGGTCACGCTGCTCCAAGAACGGAGAGGTAGACCGGGAAGAGCGGTGGGCGGCTAAGCAAGGTTTATCGAGCAGAGAGGACAAAGCTCCTGGAGAGGGAGGGGGACCAGAGTGGGTTGCCCCCGAGTTTCTTAAGTTTAGGGGTTTTTATGAACTCTTTTGCAGAACTTTCTTAAGCAATTGGCTGAGTCGTGCCAATTAGGGCTCTGGTCACGTTATTTCTCTACCTATTAGGTTCGTGTCCACGTGCTAATGGTCTTTTTTTTGCTAATATCTGGGGGCTTAGGTCTTACCTGTTCCTTGCCTGTGATATTGACAAATGGTTTTGTGCTTAATGGTCTTATTTTAGGACGTTTTGCAGAAGCCATTTCTGCAAAGGCTGCAAAGCAGAACGTCAGTGTGGTCCCATCTAAGCTGCAAAGCAGGACGTCCATGCTGTTCCATCCTAGCTGTCCTGACTCCGCATTTCCTAGTTGGGACCCTGGCCCCGACTCCCTAACTGTCCGACTCACTCCTAACACCTGCCTCCTTCACCCCCCTCCAGCCTCCCCAGTTCCGGGTACGGTGATGGTCAACAACCTCCCAGCTCTCCCTCCTCCCCTTGAACTGGGGACTGTCTTGGAGTCAGCTGAGGCCTCTGTGCCTGCTTTGCCCCAGGCTAGACCCGGCCTCCTCCCTTCTCATTCCCGGCTGATGGGTCCTGGGCCATGGAGGTGGAGGGTGGGGCAGGGTTTCAAACGCTGGCAGGTCCTCATTCTGATCAGACCCTCCGAGAGCCGAGCTGGGAGGCTGGGGAGCAGAGAGGAGCTACCCCGTCTGGATGTCAGCCCAGTGGCTCACATCGGATGCTCAGTAGAAACACCTGGAGGAGAGCTTTTTAAAACCTCCGCGGCCCGGCCCTGCTCTGAGCTGTCGGTTTCACGGGGCTGGAGGCAGCCTGGATGTGGGGGTGCCTGACGCTCCCCAGGTGATGCCAGAGGCTAACCCCAACCGCAGGCTGGTGAGGACTTCACGGGACCTGTTATGTCCCCTGTAAGCCGGGAGGGGTGGGGGGAGGATGACGTCACCTTGCAAGGTGGGGGAGAGGCCGGCCCGGGCCTGTTCTCTCCTCTGCTGTTCAGCGGTGGCGGTGGCGGGGGTGGGGGGAGCGCGCTGAAGAAGCAGGGACTGGCGCCGGTGCAGGAGGTCAGGACAGAGAACCCACAGCCTCCCCCAGGCATCTGGGGTCTGCTTCTGCTTCTCCCCCTACCAGCCCCCGCCCCAGCTGAGTTCAAAGCCCGCCAGGATTCAGAAGTAGGCCCCTATGCAAAGAACACTGAAAACCCAACAATAAGAAACCAGCATCTGATTAAGAGCTGCGGGGAAGACCGGCAGAGACGCCTCACAGGGGACTTGCAGATGGCAAGTGAGCCTGTGACAAGATGCTCGGTGTCGCTGCCGTCAGGGGGCTGCAGATGAAAAATCAATTAAAAATAGATGCAACGCCGAATTGTGCCAGTGCTCCAGCCCCCGGGCTGCAGGAGCATGGCGCGCAGGACCCCAGACTGAAGGAAGTCCCGGCTCACAGAGGGTCACAGAGCACTGTCCGTGAGGCTGCAGGTGGGACCCCAGGCTGGGCTGTCACCCTGTCAGGTCATTTGATCCTCATGGCAACTCTGAAACGACCCCCCTACCCCACCTCACTGCTTATAAGCTGTGTGTCCTCAGGCAAGTTGCTTAAACTCTCTGTGCCTCCGTTTTCTCTACTGTAGAGGGGATATAACAGTACCTACCTGATAGGACGGCCGAACGCATAAAATGACACATTGTGTGTGTCCAGCTCTCAGCGCGGTGTCCGAAGGACAGTCAGCGCCCGGTAAGCGTTGGCGAGGATTCAGCCTGACCTGGCTCAGGCTCTTATCAAAATACATTTGTGCTCTCTGACCTCACAGAGGCCAGCCCGAGGGGAACAGAATGGGGGACAGCGCAGCTCATCAAGCAGGGTCCCTGGAACCATGGCGCCAGGGGTGGGCGGTGGCTTGCCGGCACAGCCCTTGGGCAGCCTGACCCAGGCATCCCGTGCATGCCGAGTGACAATATGCAGCAGGGGCCGGGGTCCCCAAGATAGCCGCCCCCCCAACCCGCGGTGGCCCAGGAAAAGATGGAAAACAGCACACATGTCCTCTGCACCTCACATCCCAATAAAATATTTATTATTTCAAGAAATAAATCTTTAAAAAAAGAGAGAGAGAAAAGAGTGTCTCTATTGCTTTCCCCCAACAGGTCAGGTCCTTGGTGACCACTGAGTTTCTGCGGCCGAAGGGGCCACCCAGGCCCAGAGAGGGGTCTTGGGTGGGAGGGTCCCCGCCTCAGCCCTGCGAGGGCTGGCTCCCCTCTCCCAGTTCTCAGGGCCTGCGCTGCCTCTCTGGCAGGGTGGAGGGGCACGCCTGGGGGAGGGGTTGCCTGGTGAGGGCGGGTGGGATTATAAAACGGGATGGGGTGGCAGTGTCTCTGAAGGCCTGACCCGCTGAATCAGGCAGGGCTCTGGGCATGGGGAGGAGGGGAGGGGGGCATCCTGGGGCTGGGGCAGGCATGCCACACTGAGATGACGGTTTGAGGCTGGAGGAAGCTGGAGGTGGGGATGGGCAGCATCGAGGGGGTGGGGGCTACCTGGGGGCTAGTGGGTCTGGGACGCCAGGAGCTGGGCTGGGCGGGCCATGGGGCCTAAGCTCCATCCCAAGCCTTTGCCTACACGAGACGCCTGGGGGGATGGGGGCAGCATCCAGAGCCTGCTGGGGCAGGGACAGAGGTTCTGGGGACAAATCCTGGAATCGCAGTCATGCCAAGATGAGCTTCAGGAGGAGCCCGAGTGGAGAGAGCTGGACCAAGCAGGGGAGGAAAAGAGTTCAACCCAGGGGCTAGGTGGCCCCCACTCCCACTGTGCCCCCCCAAGTATAGAAAGGAGGGGGAGACTGCAAAGGCAGGAGGGGTGGGGCTGAGAGGGTCCTCCAGTCCCTGTCCCTTTTGTCCATACCCGAACAACCACAGAGGGACAAGACTGACCCCCACGCATCACTCCCCGCCCCCTGGACCCTTCGGCGAGCCATCGGGCACCTCGCCCCTGCTCCCTCCATGGACATTCTGAGTCCCCATCCCCAGGGCCCTCAGTCTGGTCCAGAATTGGCCTCCAACCACCTGCTCCTGCCCCAGGGCTCTCTGACCAATCCCACAGCTGCCTGGCCACGACGCTGCCACGAGTCCCGGGACGATGTCAAGGAGCCTGCCTGGGGTGGGCATGCAGCCCGCCCCTAACCCCGTGCATGAGTCTGCTCTGCCCACTTCCCGGCCAAGGAAGGAAGTCCCAGCGCCGGGGTGTCGCGGGGAGGGCCCGTCGCTGGAGCTCAGAATCTGCTGGTGCTTCCTCCTGCGGCCGGGAGCTGGGCGGGCGGGCGGCCTCACAGACAGTCCTGGCACAAGGCCACCTGGCCCTTGCGGAAGTCTCGGCAGGGACACAGCCGGTGGTACTTGGTGCTGGAGCCCGCACAGCTGAAGAGCAGGGGCTCCTTCTGCAGGAAGCACTCGCGGCCGGGCTGGGCGAAGGCCGGGTACAGGTGGTTCATCTCCGACTCGGTGCTGTCACAGGGCACCTGCAGCCTGGACGGGCGCCATGGGCAGCGGTCACGGCCGCAGCCTGGGGCCGCCCCCTGCCCTCCCTGACCCATCCTATGCCCAAGCAGGGAAGAAGCTTCTAGGAGGGGCAAACTCTGGGCCGCAGCTCCTTCTCCCGGCTCTGAGGGAGGAGGCCGGGAGGGGGGCTGGGCTGGGCTGCAGGCTGACCCGCTGGGAGGAACCCTGGGCCTACAAGATGCTGGGACAGGCTAGGCAGAGGCTCAGGGAGGGACCAGCAGGAGCTGAGTCCGTGACACGGACTCCTGACTGGAAGGTCCCTTCTGGGTTCTTCCTGACTTGTGGGGGAGCATGAAGCCCCCACCGCCGGCAGGGCTGCAGGTAGGGCAGTAGCAGGGTGAGATGCTGCGAGTGGGTGAGGCTGGGCCGGCCCAGGAAGGTGGGCGGGGGGTAGGGGGGTCTCACTTACTTCTGGAAGGCGTCCTGGCTGTTGAGGAAGGGAAAGAAGGACGGCTCGCAAATCAGCCCGTGGTCCAGGCAGGCGTCCGTGCACGCCCTCCCAGCAGCGGCCAGCCAGGCCCGGAGGGAGTGTGCTGGGGGCCAGGCCCCGGGGGCCAAGCTGGCATTCTGGGCCCACTCCAGATGGGTGGCGTTGGGGGCCAGAACGAAGGGGCTGGGTGGGGCTTGGGCCGCTGCTGGGGCAGGCCCTGAGGCTGCACAGAAGTCCTGGCAGGAGGAAAGCCGTGTCAGCCGGGAAAGGGGGCCCAGAAGCCCCTGGCTGACGGGGGCACGAGAGCAGTCATGGCGCGCTGGGAGCCGACTGAAAGCCGGGCGGCCTGCCACGCGTGATGCGGTCTGTTCCTCGAAGCAGCCCCCCGGGAGTGCACTAGTGTGTCTCCAGCTACCTTACGGGGCGGGGGGAAGCGGAGGCTCAGAGAGGTCACCTGCGCAGGGCCTCACCGCTGGAGGGCAGAGGCAGGATTTGAACTCAGGCCAGCCCAAGAGCCACCCGCCCTGCACGGCCTCACTGCGGATCCCGCTAAGTTAGGCGCAGAGTTTCTACACTGAGGCCCCCGTGCCCTAGCTGCGGAGGGGCGCCGGGGCCGACTGGAGGGGCTCTCCTTGCAGGGCTCAGCTCCAGGAAGCACCTGCGGGGCCCGGCAAGTGTCTCCGGGGGCTTCACGACGGCATCCCTGCGGCTGGCGGGGGGCCGAGATCCCGGGCTCTGGCCCTGATCCCACCCAACCCTCCCTGCGGGGGGCTTCAGTTTTCCTGTCTGTAAAGCAATGGTCTAGAACCGCTCTCCAGCCCTTGAGGTTGGGGACAAGGTACACAGGCCACAGGCCACAGGCTGAATATCAAGCAGTTAGGAAACAACCCACACCAAATCCCGTGGCCCAGCCATCAGCCCCAGAAGCCCCAGGCTTGGAAGAGCCTGAGATCCCCTGGCAGGGAGGGGGAGGTGGGGCTTCTCTGGCGGCCCCTTCCCCTGGGTTTCCAGCGGAGCCCTCACCCCACCCCAGTCTCACTGCTCATCCCTGGAGGTGGAAGGAGCGGGGGCCTCCCATACCTACCGGCCACTCAATCCCGTAACAGACTTCTAAGCAACTTCTTTATCAAAATAAGTCTTGGCGTTTCTGTGTTGTGGTATGGGGCTGGGTCCTAGATTAGTGACCCAGCGCCCTCCCCGCCCCCCAGGCCTGGTCTCCAAGCAGGAGCAGAGCAGGAACGCCCTCCACCTCCAGCCCCACCCCCAGGCGTCTCCAGGGGAATGGAAACAGACAGGTGGAGGGGAGCAGGAGTTTATGGGGCACAGAGCCCTGGGGGAGAGAGCTTCCTCGGACAATGGAGTTGGCTAGGCCCCCTCCTCTGGTCTGATGGGGTTGGGGGTATCCCCCCTCATTCCTGGAGCAGAGAGCAGAGGGCCCACCTACTTGGTGCTGTATGTAGGCATGGATTCGTTCCAGCATCCCCTCACAGGTGTACTCGTAGGGCAGGTAGGGGTCTACCTGTAGGAGAGATGGGCAGACACATGGGGCAGGAGGCGCCCCGGGCCCCCCTCGACCTGGCTGTTGGGGGCCGGCCACGCTCAGCATTGGGGGCGGGAATCTGGTGTGCCTAGGGAATCTGTCACCCCTATCCGGCCCCTCCACGTGGACCTCTGGTATACCCTCCACTGGCCCTGGGGGTCATCCCACTCCCTCCTGCCCCCTTCCTAGCCGCCCTCTGCTTCCCCTAAAGCTCAGCTCCCATCCCCTCCCGGGCTAGGATGCCTGCTCTTCCCACAGCCAACCAGATGGATTCCCCCTGCTCCCCACTTAGGTGACACCTCCTCCAGGAAGCCGTCCCTGAGCCCACACCCCTGTTACTGGACCACTTTCCTTCGTGGCACCCGAGAACTCCAGCACCTGTATCACCGTTTCTGATTTAACCCTCGTGTCTCCCGGGTTACAGGTCCCTTGAGAACTGGACTTTGGCTCATCTACCATTGAGCCCACTGCCAGGCATAGTGTCTGGTATGCAGTAGGTGCTCAGGAAACAGCATCTCCAGCTCTGCCCATGAGCTGCCCAGAACGTAGAATCTTCACGAGAAGGAACACATGGGCATCTCCCCGCAGACGGAATGAGATGAATCCGCAAGTCTTCCTGCCCAGGCCAGGCACCTGGCAGGACCTGAGACATGTGCCCCCAGCGGAGGCCACAGACGGTTACATGGCCGCCGGCGCTGGGGGTGACTGGGAGCCACAGGTCGCCTTGTGGATCTGGTGGCTGGAGGAGCTGGGGGCCGAGGGGCAAGGGGAATGGGGAGACGTGTGAAAGGGGGCGTCCACCTCCTGTGAGGGGCTACCCCACCTCCTCTGCACTCTTCTTACCTGACCAACCCCTCCCCATTTACTCCGCCTGGCACACAGCCACCGGGTGGGGGGGGACCCACAGCTGGACAGGGACGCAGGGGTGACCCACCCCAGACTCAGACTGGGCCTTTGCCCTCCCTTCTCCCCAGAGCACGTGCGTGTGTGTGTGTATACATGTGTGCACGTGTGTACATGTGCGTACGTGTTGCACATGCATGTGCCTTTATACCATGTATCTATGTCTGTGTGTATGTATGTGCTGTGTGTACGTATCTGTGTGCATGTGGTATGCGTGGGGATGGGCCCCCCACCTGGTCCAGCCCGATCCTGATTCATGCCCTTTTCCTACCAATAGCCCAGGGAGTGTGACTAACACTTGTGCCCGAATGGGCGTGGCCTCCCTCCCCCTCTGCAGAGCCCAGCAGCATCAGAGGCCCAGTCAGGTGTGCCAGGCCGGTCCTGCTTCCTGCAGACCCCACTTTGAAGGGCTGGAGGCCCATCCTAGGCCCTCTGCCTAGGGGCATCCCTGACCCTCAGGCTGGGGAGAGGCTCCCCTTGAAATAGGTTCAGGCCACCAGAAGATTCTCAGGACAAGAGCCTAGCCCTGTGGCTTTGTCCCCAGTTTCCACTGTGAGCGGCCATTCTTAATCCGAGGGTGATTCCCCCTTCCCAGAGAACCCCAGGTCCTGCATCCGGCCACCACTGCACAGCCCAGCCACCGGGTGGCCTTTCCAGCCCTGCACTGTGCACCGCTGGCTCCCGACCTTGGTGCCCTTGGTGCCCTTGACCCTTGAACACCTCTGGGGTACATGACTTCCAGGCCTGGTTATAGATAACCCCTCAGAGGAGAGAGTTCCCCTCCAAATGTCACTCTGCCTGCTTCACGGCACCCTCCCCAGCCCAGTGACTCCCTCCCCCATGCCCCCCCCCCGCCCCGCCCCAGCTTTGAAGCCCACATCACATCAGCCAGCCACGTCCCACCTGCCATGAACTCCCACCAGAAGAGCAGCCTGCCTGGAAATTAGCCTCATTAGGCCCAGTTACAGGTGTGCACAGTAATCAGTCTTGACGGACTGGCAGGTGCCGGCCCTACACGGTCATGAGTCGGGGCGGGGGGCGGGTGCTGGCCTAGCCCCTCCCTAGCAGAGATGTGTCAGCAGCAAAAGCCACCTACCCCTGAGTGGGGAGAGAGGGGGTCTCTCCCAGCTCCTCTCTGTGCCTCGTCCTTCTTCCTCCCTCTCCCCATTGAAAGGCCCCAGGACTTGCAGAACGAGCCAGCTGTGTCCCCTGATGGGGGCCCTCAATCAGTTCTCTAAAATAGGATTATGAGAGCAGCCCAGGCTGCTTGTTGAAAATGCAGATGCCAAGGCCACACCCGTCCTTTAAAAGGGAAGACAGGAAGGGGTGGTGCTTGAGTGGCTCAGTCGGTTAAACATTTGTCTTCCGCTCAGGTCATAATCCTGGGGTCCTGGAATCTAGTCCCTCATCAGGCTCCCTGCTCAGCAGGGAACCTGCTTCTCCCCATCCCTGTCTCGTGCTCTCTCTCTCAGAAAAAAAATCTTTAAAAATCAGAAGACGGGCCTAGGACCCGCATTTTAATGACCTCCTAGGTGACTCTTGGGTAACGGGGTAAACTGCCCAGGAGGAAGGGGGGGACCCCTGAAGGGGCTGAAGGCAGCGGGGAGGTCAGGTTGGGGGCCCACCTACAAGTCTCAGCCTGGCAGACTTGCAAAACCTTGGTTCCTTGACCCTTTTGTTATTGTCATTTTTACAGCAACTAATTAACAAACAGATGTTCATGGGGAAAAAAATCCAAAGGAAAACCATTGAAAAGTAAGTTTCCTCCCACCCAGACACCCAGGCCTGTCCCCAGGGCAGCCACTGTTAGCAACTTCTCGTGTGTCAGACCAGAAAGAATGAGCGAAGGCTCGGGCGCTCTCCCTTGCAGGCCCCTCTGCAGCCCCGTTGTGTTCTGAGGCTGGAACATGCTCCCCATGGGACCAGGTATCTTGCTCCTTTAGCTCAGCGACAGATCTTGTTGAGATCTGTTGGGCCACACCTGAGCCCTGGGGGTGGGCAGAAGCCTTGCTAGTCTCGCATCCACCCCCCAACCCTCCACCCCATCCTTGTCCCCTGGGACAGAGCTTCGGATGTTTGCTCTTCAGTGGGAGGGCAGAAGGAGCTGGAGCAGCATGTGGCGTGGGGGGTCCCTCCCGGGTAGCCGTCTGCCTTGCTGGGGGCCTCCCGATGCAGCATCCACCTGGGACGTTCCGTGCTATGTGCTTGGGGCTGGGGTTGGTCAGCTGTGGGTGGTGGCTTCTTTCTCCTGGACTGAGGCCACCCGGAGAGCCCCTTGTTCAGCTCAGCGAGGGTCCCCATGCACAGCCCTCTGCCAGTGATGGATGGAGCTGGGGATAAATGTCCAGGTTTACTCGATCCTCAGGTAGGACAATCTGGGATGTGACCAACCCCATCCGTCCCTGCCAGCCCTGAGCGCCAGGTGCCACCGGCCAGGGTGACCTACTCCATAACACAGCATCTCACTTTGTCACTCCAATACCCTCCTTGCTGGGATCACTTCCCAAATAAATGGCTTGTGCCTCAGGGTCACCGCCGGCAGAAACCCAGTCTAAGACAGTCGGTGACCTGGAAGAACTCACAGTAGAGATTTGCTCAAGCTGATGCTTAAGGAGTAGGGGCATCCCCCACCACTCGGGGGGGTCCAGGGGCTCAGCCACTCCGCAGGCCAACCTGGCCATGTCCCTGTCCGTCACAGCTAAGGATGGGCGGAGGCTCTGACACAGCAATGGTCCTGGGCACTTAGCTAGACAAACCCTCAGCCCCGGACAGAAGGACGGAAGGATGAGGGTGTGGTCAGGGGAGGAAGGGAGAAGATGAGGTAGGTCGGGATTTTCTGGGGACATCTGCAGGGGTGGGGGCCCAGGCTGGGGGTTCCTAGTGGGAGTGAGTGATAGAGAATGCAGGGGGCTGTTAGAAAAAAATGCAAGCCTGCCTCAGGGTCAGGACAACCAGGCAGGGGCTCTGGGCTCAAAGTGAAGCCCATAAGTCCCCCTGCGGGGTGTCTATCCCTGCTAGTCTCTGCCTGTGAGCCTGTCAGAGCCCCCAGCTCTCCTGGGGCAGCAGACACGCTGGCCAGCTGTGGCCTCCCGGGGAGTGGTTCTCCTTTGCAGAAGGAGCCTATCAGGTCACTCACTTGTGGCGGCCCAGCCGAGACCAAGGCTCTCCAGGTCTGCCCCAGACCCAGAAGTTCACCCTGAGCGGTGCATACCCCACTCCCCGGAAGGACACACACCCTGAACATGGGCTTGGGCAAGGAAGGGGACACCCGCAGGGCTGGTTATCTTTTTTCAGCCTCATGTCCAAGCTACAGCAAGAGGCGGGTCCAGAGGGATCATGGCAAGTAGAGCGCCGTCTACATGGTCTGTCCCCTTTCCCAAAGGAAGGAGCCAGAAGAGCACGAGGTGCCATCAGAAGCCACAGAAGGGCCTGCCGAGGAGACAAGCTGCACCAGCCCCTCCTCACCCTCTCCCCACCCACACACCTGCACCTGCTGACGCTCACATACCTGCTTAAGGAAACCCAGAAAGTTCTTCCCCCTTGCTACTCAAAGGGTAGTCCTAGGCCTGGCACCACCCCAGAGCTACAGAGAAACGCAGGATTTCAGCCCCACCCCAGACCTGCTGAATTCTGAACCTTCATTTTAACAAGATCGCCAGATGACCTGTATGCACATACATGGTTTGAGATACACGGCCAAAAGGCCACAGACCCACACCAGCAGCAGAGTCCCAAGAACCTCCATGCACTAATTCTGGAAACATTTACTCAGCATCTAACTTGTGCTAGGAGTGCCCATGGGGCTTAGCCTCCAAAGGTGCTTAATAAACGATTCTGGATCCAGGGCTGCCATGTAAGGTTGTGCAGGTCGCTCATGGCACAAAGGCATTTCCCTGTCTCTCCCTCCCCCCCCCCCCCCACATGCAAGCTGGTAAGTGGGGCCCCCCTATCAAGTATGCCAACCCAGGCCTGAGAGTCTGAATTCACCGGGAGAGGCCTCTTTTTCTAATTATAGCTAAGATTCCCAGCAGCGGCTTATGGCAGTCCTGACTGGATCTGAGCCTCACCTGCGTTCTCATGATGGCCTTGATGGCTGCTTCGAACTCCTCTGAGTTATTGTAGTCGACAGTCCACACGTGGGGCTTGCCGATGAAGTTCTCTGCATAGGGGTGCTGGGAGAACACCTGGCCGGGCGGAGAGAGCAGCAGCTTCTCCCTGCGCCTGCCAGGCCGGCCCGCGCTCAGGGGAGGAGCCCCCACCCACCTTGTCCCCCCCCCATCCCTTCCCCCCTGCCTGTCTCCCCCTTCCATGGACTGCGGGGTCCCCATCTCAGACCCTCCCCACTCACCTCTCTGGAGGTGGGCTTGCCTCGGAAGAACTCGTGGTTGAGGGAGCTGTGGGGTGGGCTGAAGCGGGACTGGAGGAAGACACAGCCATTGGCGATGGCCTCCAGGGGCGCGGGGCCCTCGTAAGGGAAGCCGAAGCCGATGAAGAGCTGAGGAAGGAAAATGGCGTGACGGTCGGGGAAGTCTGGCGCCAGAGCCCCAGGAAGCCAGGCCTGGGACATTTACGGGAGGCGGCCAGGGCAGGAAAGACTGCCCAGACCGGCAGGGTGCCATGGCAGGCCCCTCCCCTCTCGGGCCTCAGTTTCCCCATTTGTGAAATGAGGAGGTCTGCTTAAGTAATATCAGGGGCCTCTTCCTGCTCTAGCCGACTGTGATTCTGGAGGTGAAGGGAGAAGAGTGAGGGTCTCAAGCTCAGAAGATTTCAGACCCACACCTACCGCTGAACTCAGAGGACTCTACTCATCCTAAAAACGGTTATTCAGCACCGAACTCGTGCCAGAAGTGCTCGCAGGGCTGGTGCCTGGAAAGCAGTCAGGAAACGACTCCGAATGCTGGGCTGCTGTGTCACGTTGTTCAGATTGCTCACTGCACAAAGCCTCTCCCCCTGTCCCAACACATATATGCACACACCAAGGAAGCCTGAGGAAAGGGCTAGGGCTAGATCAGGAGCGGAACTGAATGCTGGCCGGAGGCCCCTCCGGCCTCAGCTGACCCCTCGGGGCCCCGCAGCAGAGTCACGCGCTCCCCCCCTCACCCCCATGCCCGGAGCTGCAGCTCCAGGAACACAGCGGAGGACTTCCAGAAGCAGAACCAGCAGCCCCGTGGAACTCCAGGCGGGACACGCCCTCAGCCAGCCCTGCCAGCCCTTCAGCGGTTCCGAAAGCTGGGCCCGGCCCAGGAGTCTGCCCGGCAGCCTGCTTCCTCTTCCCTACTGCTGAGCCTCGGCTCTGCTGGCCCTGCCCAGGTCCCTCCTGGGGGAGCACCCCCAGCTCTGCTCCAGCCCCAGGAGGGTTGGGTGTGAGGCTCAGGGTAGGAGAACATGCTGGGGCAGGTCTGCACGTGGAAGGGGCCACGAGCCTCAGGGGCAGGCATGGCGGGGAGTGGGGCATGTAGGGCAACCTCCTCGGTGTCTGGGGCCAGGCTGGGGGTAGGGCGTGGGGCTCACTTTGGCCTTGCGCAGCAGCTGCTGGAACTCGGGCTGTGGCAAGAGGCCGTGGTTCTTCACGAAGGCGGGGACCTCGGGGGGCCGCTGGCTCTCATAGTACACGGTGCCGTGGATCTCCATGTACTTGTTCAGGATGCCCAGGAACTTCTCCTTCCCCTGCAAGAGCGGGGGGAGCAGTGGGAGCCTCGCCCCAACCGTGGGAGGCAGAGCTGCCCGCGGAAACACCCCGGTCTGGAAGTCGGAAAACGTGGGGCGGGTCTTAGGTCGGCCTTCAGCCAGCTGCGTGACCCTGGGCAAGGCCCCTCCCCTCTCTGGTCCTCATCTTCTTCATCCGCGAGTTGCAGAGGTCGGACTAGACAATGTTTAGCCATGGAACTGTCTTCTTTGCAAAGAAATCCTAGGGGGACCCATATGCAAATGCCTCCAAACGCAGCTGCTGGACCCCCTGAAGTGCTGGTGATCCCCAAGGCCACCCGAGGAGCTGTGGGGCCGACATCATCTCATCCATGCCTCCGTCCCTCCGTCCCTCCATCCATGCGTTTGCCCATCCCCCCACCTGTCCATTCATCCCCTCCTTCCCTCCATCCACCATCCCTTCTCTCCCCCTCCCCCCATCCATGTAGCACATTTTTATTAACCACTTGCCAGGGGCTGGCACTGAGCTCACGGCTGGGAGCACAGCTGGGACAAGACAGAGCCCTTGTCTTTAAGAAGGACACCCGTGAGCGAAAACCCCCCAAAGTAGAAAAGGCTCAGCCCCTCCAGACTCTAGTCCCACATCCAGACTCGAGGACAACGGGAGGCAGAGCGTAGACAAAGAGACAGCTCCGCCTGGGGCACCCGTCTGACCCCATGGCCAGAGCCCTGAGCCAGGAGCTGTGGGCAGTGTAGGTCCTCATAAGGGGTAAGCATGGGGTCTGCCACGGGGTTCTACTTTTTGGGGCCTTTTGAGACTCACAGGAGAGAGGAAGGGATACACGGACAAGAAAGGAACTTCAAGATCACAGAGGAGGCTGTGGCAGGGAGCGGTTTCCTCAGGGCTAGTCTGGAGCAGACCAGCAGGTCAGGAAAAAAGCAGCCAGGTTCTCCCTGTTCTGCTGGCTAGCCATGAGGTCGGACAACAAGGAGCTTTGGGCCAGGTTCAGTCTGTAAACCACAGCTTTTGAAGAATGTTATCAATGGACATGAAAGTAAGGACCAATTCATATTCTGAAATTCCAACTGTATACACTTTTCACAAGGAGGCCTTCCTCTCTGGGTAAGGGTGTACTGGGTAATGCAGATGGGTCCTGCCTCTGAGAACCACCAGGAGAGATGGGGAAACAGAAAAATTTCTGTGAAAGCAGGGAAAATCTAACAAAGCTGGAAGAATTACAAGGCTGAGATCTGGGAGAAGACCTGAAGGAGATCGTGGAGGCTGGTGCTGGGGTCAGCACTTCCCCCCTGGGAGGCACCCGCTGATCCCTGGGTCAGCATCAAGGAGACTGAGCTTCTGGTCACCTTGTAGAGCTGGAGGACAAGTGAGGGTTCAGGGTCTGCCGAGGGGGGGACCCTGATGGAAACCACACTCTGTGGGTTGGAACTCTGAGGAAACTCACGCTGGAAGAAAAAGGGTGAGCCAGACCTAGAGAAGCCCGGACAGAGGCTGAATCTGTGTGTGGGGGGGGGAGGGGGGTCTTTTTTTTTTTTTTTAATCTATTTATTTTGGAGAGTGAGTGACAGCACAAGCAGGTGGGGCAGAGGGAGAGAGAGACTCAAGCAGACTCCACACTGAGTGCAGAGCCTGACACGAGGCTGGATCCCAGGACCCTGAGAACAGGACTTGAGCTGAAACTAAGAGACAGAGACTTGACGGAGCCATCTAGTCGCCCCGAGGGCTTTTTTTTTTTTTAAAGATTTTATTTATTTATTTGACAGACAAAGATCACAAGTAGGCAGAGAGGCAGGCAGAGAGAGAGGGGAAAGCAGGCTCCCCGCTGAGCAGAGAGCCCGATGTGGGGCTCGATCCCAGGATCCTGAGATCATGACCTGAGCCGAAGGCAGAGTCTTAAACCACTGAGCCACCCAGGCGCCCTCCCAAGGGCTTTTTAATAGGCTTTTTAATCGGTTTTAAATAGTCTTAATCCCTATCACTGATTCTGTGATCCAAGATTGCTGTAGCCCCAAACACAGGCTAAGAGTGAAAGTGAAATCCTCACCAGAGGAAGAAGGCATCGTCCCCAAACTGTTTTACACTTTCTTATATTCATTTTCCAGAGCTCCAAAACACAACAATAAAACAATGAAATCCCAATCAAAACCCCAGCAGGCTTAGAAGAAACAACTTTGAAAAAGAAGAAAGCAGGCAGATTTATAGTACCTGATTTCAAGACTTATTTTAAAACTACAGGAATCAAGCCGGTGTGCTACTGGCATCAAGACAGACAGAGAGATCAATGCAAAAGAACAGAGTCCAGAAATAGACCCACACGCGCATGGTCAATTGATTTTTGACAAAGGTGCAAAGACATTTCAGTGGAGAAAGGGTAGTTTTTTCAACCGACAGTCACGGAACATCGCGTATCCGTGTGCAAAAAAGGGAAAAGAATTAGAACTTCAATCTCTACCATATCATACATAAAACTTAATTCAAAATGGACCATAGACTTAAATGTGAAATGTAAAACCATAAAAAATACAGAAGAAAGCACAGGGGGAAAATCCTTAGTGAGCTTGGGTTACACAAAGATTTCTTAGATGCAACACCAGAAGCATAATCCTTAAGACAGTGGACTCCATTAAAATGAAGAACTTTGCTCTTTGAACAATGCTATTAAGAAAAAGACAAGGGGCGCCTGGGGGGCTCAGTCAGTTAAGTGGTCGCCTTCGGCTCAGGTCACGATCCCAGGGTCCTGGGATCGAGCCCCGCTTCAGGCTCCCTGCTTGGCAGGGAGCCTGCTGACCCCTCTCTCTCTGCCTGTTGCTCTGCCTACTTGTGATCTCTCTCTCTCTGTGTCAAATAAATGAATAAAATCTTAAAAGAGAGAGAGAGAAAGACAAGCCACAGACAGAATATATTTGCCAAGCATATATTTGATAAAAGACTGATACTCAGAATACGTACAAAACTCTAACAGCTCAATAATAAGAAAACAAACAACCCCCATTCTTTAAATGGGCAAACATTCTGAAAAGACACTTTACCCCAAAAAAGATATAAGGAAGACAAATAAGCACACAAAAATACCTTCGCTGTCATTAGTCGGAGGGAACTACAAGTTGAAACCCTAAGATGCCACCGCACGTCTGTAGGATGGCTCCAACTGGAAAGACGGACCAAGTATTGATGACTCTGTAATGAACCGGAACTCTCACACATTGCTGGCAGAATCGTAAAATGGTGCAACCACTTTTCCTGGGATGTTAAGCCTAGTTCTACCATATGCTCCAGCCATTCCACGCCTAGGTGTTTACCCGGGAGAAATGAAAGCATATGTCTGTACAAACGCTTGTACATGGATGTTCATAACAGCTTTATTTGTAGCGGCCAAACACTGGAAACAACCCCAACGTCCACTAATAGGAGAACAGATAAAAAAAGGCACGGTGGGATACGATGGAAGTCCATGCGACGGGATAACTATTCAGCCGCAGGAAGGAATCAACAACTGATCCGCGTGATGACACGGGTGAATCTGGAAATAATTATACTCTGAGAAAATCCAGACTAAAAAAGGAGTACGTACCATATGAGCCCATTTATATAAAATTGTAGAAAACAGAGACTGTGTTAACAGAAAGCAGATCGTGGACTGCCTGGCAGGGAGGAGGGGAGAGGTGGGAAGAGGGAACCTGGGAGCAGTGGACACACCCTCCTGACTGGGGCAACGGTTTCCCAGGTATACGTTTAAGTCGGAACTTCTAAGTCATCTATTTGAATCATGTGTGGTACACTGTATATCAGTTATACCTCAGGAAAGCCTATTAAAAATAGATTTTTTTAAAGATTTTTTTTGTTTAATTTGACAGAGATCACAAGTAGGCAGAGAGGCAGGCAAAGAGAGAAGAGGTAGCAGGCTCCCCATCGAGCAGAGAACCCGATGCGGGGCTCGATCCCAGGACCCTGGGATCATGACCTGAGCTGAAGACAGAGGCTTTAACCCACTGAGCCATCCAGGTGCCCCTAAAAATAGATTTTTAAAGAAAAAATTAAAACACCTTGATTTTTAGACAAATCAGATACATGACAATGTGATTAAAACCCAAGAGACAAAGGGGCACCTGGGTTTCTCCATTGGCTGAGCAGCCAACTCTTGGTTTCTGCTCAGGTCATGATCTTGGGTCAGGAGATCAACCCCTGCATCAGGCTCTATGCTTGTGGATTCTCTCTCTTCCTCTCCCTCTGCTCTTCACCGAGTTTATACTCTCTGTCTCTCCCTCTCTTGCAAATAAATACATAAATCTTTAAAAAAAAAAAAAAAAACAAGAGACAGACAATAAAAACAGACCCGCAGAAGACCTAGAAACTGGAGTTACCAGATACAGATTTCAAGAAAAATCTGCTGAATGTAGTCAAGGAAATAGAAGATAAGGAGGAAACCAAATGGAAAAGCTGGAAGTGAGAAATCCAGTAGCTGAAATGAAGAACTGAACAGACAGATTCCACAGCAGATTGGACCCTGCTGAGGACAGAATTCATTTAGTGAAAGAACGAAAGAAAACATTCAGAATGGGGACGCCTGGCTGGCTCAATTGGTTGGATGACTGCCTTCGGCTCAGGTCATGATCCTGGAGTTCCCAGATCGAGTCCCGCATTTGGCTCCCAGCTCCACGGGGAGTCTGCTTCTCCCTCTGACCTTCTCCTCGCTCATGCTCTCTCTCATTGTCTCTTTCTCAAATAAATAAATAAAATCTTTAAAAAAAAAAAAAACACATCCAGAATGAAGCATAGAGGAAAGTGGAAATCACAGAAAAGAACGTAAGAGACAATGGGAAGTGTTGGAGTCTAATGTATGCAGAAACAGAGTCCCAGAAGCACAGGAGAGAGACTGGAGCAGAAGCAATATTTAGAGACTAATTGAAAATTTTCTACGACTCATGACAGATCAGACCACAGGTTCAAAAAGATCTACAAATGCCATGTAGGGTAAATCCAGAGAAAATCACACGGAGGCACACCACCATAAGTCTACTGAAAACCAAACACACAGAGGTCCTAAAAGCAAGCAGAGAAAGAAGACAAATTACCTTTAAAGGAACAACAAGCCTACAGAAGCCAAAAGACAATAGAGTATTTTCATAACGCTGAAAGAAAGTAACCACCAAACTAGAATTCCGTACACAGCGAACATATCCACTAAGAATAAGGAAGAAGTAAGGGCGTTCTCAGGAAATCAAAATAAAATGAGAGTACACAAGCTGGGGAATGTATTTAAAGCATTTTAAGGTTCTTTTATTATCCAATAAAAGGGAAAGGTATTATTTACACGAGACTTGGTAAGTCAAGGATGCATGTTGTCATCTTTATTGAAGCAACCACAAGACTAGGAGAGAATATAATGAGTCCGCTAAAAAGGGGGGTGAATTTCAAAATACAGATCAGTATAAAAGAATGCCTGAAAGGGGAAAGAACATGGAATGAGGCAAGAAAAAGTTATAGAGATCAGCTAGTGAAATGGAAATCGTAGATTCTAAGCCAAATACATCAGAAATCACACTAAATGTAAAAGGACTATATCATGTAAAACTAAACAGACTCACAGAAGAAAAAATCAAACAAAGAAAGTGAAGTGTGGAGAGAATGGCTCCATACCCCATCAACATCAGCTTCCTTATCCCCTTGTGTACCTTCTCAGAACTTTAATGCATTCAAAGCATATTTACATTTTCCTTAAAACACATACACAAATGGGTTCATGTTAGATATACTGTTCAGCAACCTTTCTTACCCATACACACAAGTATCCATGCATGTAGGTATGCGTGTATGCACATGTATGTGTGTACGTATGCATGTAAAGTGTGTGTGCATGTATGTATATATGTAAACTTCAAGTTTCGCAAAACAATATTTACTCTTGGGGCGTCTGGTGGGCTCAGTGAGTGGAGCACGCAACTCTTGATCTTGGGTTTGTGAATTCAAGCCCCATGTTGGGTGTAGAGATTATTTAAGAAAAATAAAATCTTAGAACAATATTTACTCTTAATACATGTGAGGTCTTCTGATGTTCCCTCTGATATTTTACTTCCTTTTAAAAGGCTTACCGAGACTCCCTAAGTTAGAAAAAGACAAATATGGCATGATCCCACTTCTAGGTGGGATCTGAAAGAGTGGAACTTGTAGAAACAGCTTAACGGTGGTCGCCAGGGGCTCAGAGGGTGGAAATGGGGAGAGGTTGGTCAAAGGGACAAACTTTCAGTCGTATGAAGATTAAGTTCAGGGATACCATGAATGGCGCGGTGATTGTGGTCAGCGATACTGTACTGTATACTTGAAACTTGCTGAGAGAATAATAGGTCTTCAGGGTTCTCTGCACACGCACGTGCGCATGTATGCGCACACATGCACGGGTGACTGTGTGAGGCGATCACACTTGATCACGATAGTCATTTCACAATATATGTGTGTCTCGGGCCACCATGCTGCATACCCTAAGAATACACCATTTTCCCTGTCAACTGTACCTCAGCAAGGTTAGGAAAAAAACCCCAGAGCTCTGAGCTCATCTCACGATTTATCCACAGGCCGCGACCCGCCAACTGAGAAGTCCCACATGACCCCCCCCCCCCCAGACAGCCCTTCTGATGTCTGGCCTGTTTCCTCCAGCAGCAAGGGTGGGTCTGTCTCTCTCCTGTCCCCGACTCCTGCCCTCTGGGCCACATGCTCTCACAAAATAGCACCCAGGCCTGAGCCTCAAGGCCTCCCTTCTGGGGACCCAGAATAAGACAGGCCTCCATTGGCACAAAATTCACCCAAACACTCGCCTTCATCCCAGCTGCTGCTCCCATGAGGACCCCCACCATCCTGCCTCCTCTGTTTCTCTGCCACCTGGTCCCCTGAACTCTGGGATGCTCGGTCCCAAGAGGCTCCCCTTATCCTTTTCATCCGGCCACCTCCGACTTCCTCCAGTTGCCAAGACCAGAGCAAAGATGTCTTTTTTTGGAAGGACTTTGAGGTCTCTTGAAGAACAGTGTTGCTCCCGGCTGTCACAGAGATGCCTGAGCTAGAGATAAAGCCTTTCTCTTCCCAGACTTTGTAACCTCTCGCTCTCTCAGGGCAGTGCCTTAGCCTTCTAGTAAAAGCAGACACAGTTCGTGCCACACCTTCCCCAGAGCCCTGGGCTCCCGCGGCAGCCTGCTCCTTTTGCATCACAGGAGAATGACTTCTCATTCCTCCCCCTGCAGCCCGCGGGGTCAGGGGACAGCCTACCGAGAGCAGAGGGGAGCAGGAGGAGCGCGTGGCCGGCAGGCATCTTACCTGGAGCTGCCTCGTTCCCGGGAGGGCACAGAGGAAAGAGGAGAGAGAACAGGTCAGTGAGCAGTGAGCACACAACCTCCCACACGGGCACCGCTTCTCCAGGGAGCCCGCCCCGAAGGTGGGGTTCTGCCTCCTGCACTGCCTCCCAGCCCTCAGAGGCCCCAAGTCTAGCCCAACCCCCTTGACAGGCTCACAGTGTTCATCGATGTGGCCCTAGGGAGGGTGGCACGTTAGGTCACATTCCTGCATAAAGGACATCTGGGCTTGTTGCAGAGAGGTGGGAGGGGAGCAGGTTAGCAGCCCCCTGGCTGGGTCTCTTCAGTGGCAATTAGGGACCTCTCTTTTCTGACCCATCAGTGGGCACATTTAGGCATCCAGAGCCAGGGGTGGTGGACAGAGCCAGGTCTTGGAAGTGGGGGCTCCCAGGAGGCCCGTGCTTACCTTCCAGATACTCGCTTCCTTGCCGTACACCACGGCCATGTTGCTGGCCTTGCCGCCTTTGATGAGCTGCTTCTCCGTCTCATTGAGCTCCTCGGACACGAAACCCATGAAGGAGTTGTCCGGGGTGTGAGCTACAGCCAGACCACGGGGTCAGGAAGGGGGCTGCTGCACAGCCAAGGCCACGCCCCGGGTCTACTTGGACCGGCCCCGTCAGAGGGGGCCCCATTTGACAGGGATGGGGACAGGGGGCTGGGAGGTATGGGGTCTGGTGGAGGAGGGGGAAACTCACATCACATCAGTGTCCCCAGCCCGGGGCATCTCCTGCTCCCAGAGACTGTCACAAAGCCTCAGGCCGAGGGAAAGCCTGGAGGTCATCTGGCCCCCTTGCTTGTAAGCAGACGGGCACAGTCAGGACCCTGCCTCCATCAGAATCCTCCGAGGCTGGCTCAGGCCCAAGGCTTTGGCTCCTCCCCTCTTCTCTCACTGCCGACACCCATCAGCAAAACCTGTGTTACCCAGGTGGGACTTCTTCCATCATGATGCCCCGGCCTGGGGACCACCCTCTCTGTCCTGGCCCCCATGATCTGCTGCCTGCCCCCATTTCTGCCATTCTCTTGGCGTTGCCTTTTCTCTTGAGCAAGCCTTTCCGATTTAGGTCAGACCAGGTCCTTCTGCACAAAACCCTGCCGTGGTCCCCAGAAGCTAAGGTCCCTGCAAGTCTACAGGATCTGCCCCCACTGCCCCCTCTGACAGCCTCTCTTCCTCCCTCCCGAGACCCTGCTGGGTGCACTCCCTCTGCAGACACGCTTGCTTTCAGGGTCCTGCCAAGAGGTCCTCCCTGGGCCTGTCACCCTCTGTCCCTCACCTGCCATTCACCAGCCAGACATGGTATCACATATCTCATTGATCGTTCACTGGTGTCTGAATATAAGCCCCAGGAGGCAGGGCCTCTGATTTGCTCACTTCTGTGTCCCCAGCACCTGGGAGAGCCTGGCACGCCAGCTCATGAATGGGTGGACACATCCTTCCTTCCCCACCTCCAAGTTTTTGCCCCTTCTGTTCCCTCTGCCTGGAGGGCTCTCCTGCCTTTCCCTAGATAAGAAAATGCCCTGCACGGGGTCCGTGCCCTCCCTCTGTGGCTCCACTCCCGTGCTTCTGTCTCGGCCACAGGAGAGCCCACGCTGGGTAGATGGGGAAGCAGGTCTGCTCATGACTTCCTTCCTGGACTTGTGTATCATTAAAACTGGCAAGCCTCTCTCTTCCTTTTTTGTTCTGTTTCTTTACTTTATTCAATCAATTAAAATTTTCTGAGCACCCTGATAGGCTCCAGGGAGATAAGGGTAAATCAATCAGTGCCCCCTTTTGCGTGGTTCGTAATATCTCAGGGTGAAATTAATGTATAAGCAAATAGCTCTAACATACTTCAACATACACTTTTATAGAATTGGATTTAAAAGCCATAAAAATAGAGGCGAAGGAGCAACAGCAAATGAGGGAATCCGTGGAAGTGGCAGGAAATAAAGAAGATCTTTGGGCTGGGGTTTTGGAGGATGAGTAGGAGTTTGCCCGGTTTGGAACTCCACATCCAGTGGGCCCTACTCCACGTAAGTGCTCATTTTCTCAGTGTAGCTTACTGCAGAAGTCTCTTACCCCCTCTCCTGCTTCCCCCTCCTCTACCACTGCCCCTTTGGCCATCTGTAATCTCCCAGAATAATGTGCCTCAAAAACCTTTCTCTCGGGGCACCTGGGTGGCTCAGTCGGTTGAGAATCCGACTCTTGATTTCAGCTCCGGTTGTGATCTCAGGGTCATGAGATTGAGCTCCGCACCGGGTTCCACGCTCAGCATGAAGTCTGCTTGTCCCTCTCCCTCTGCTCCTCTGCTCCTCCCCCACCCCCACTGCCTCTCAAATTGATAAATAAAATCTTAAAAACAAACAAACAAAAAAACCATTTTCCTCCATGACGTTCCCCGGCTCAAGAACCTACAGTGATTCTTGAATTACGGTATTTGGCATAAATTGAGGAACCGGTGCTAGAAGACCCCTACCATCTGCCCCCACGTCCTCCACGTCCCTCTTGCCAGCCTCATAGCTCGATGCTCGCCTTGCAAGTGAGCTAACTGCCAAGCTCTGTGCCCACCTCTGCTCTCTGCTGTCACATAAGCTGCTTCCACAGCCTGGAGCATCCCCCCCACCCACCACTGACCGCACTTCCTTCCCTCCAGAGTCGGGTCCCCCAGAGAGCCATGTGACCTCCGTCCTCTGGGACTCAGTGTCCTCCCCTGGGCTCCAAAGAACCTGCCCACCTCCCCAACCTTCTGAAATCCAATCAAGCCATTACTTATGGGTCCAGAAATGGTATCTGCCTCTAAGAGGTCCTAGAACCTGCGGAGTAAGACAAAGAAGGACCCTAAGCATCCCGCAGAGGCGCATTAATTTGACAGGCTAAATAAAGACCAGATTCTTTACTTCTGAGCAAGTTCCTCGGGATCCTGCTTTGTTGGCTTCCTTTAGACACATCCTAACAAAAGGTGCTTATCTTGCTTTCTGACCCGGAGCCTTCAAAGAGCCACAAATTAGATGTGCAGGACGCTGCTGGAGGCAGATATACTGACGGCAATTAAATGTGACAGCTGATAGCCTCCCGACGAGGAGAAAAAGCACCACATCAAACAGTGACAGGTGAAGGGGCCACTTAGCAAGGGCACCTGGCTCTGCACACCTCTGCCGTCCCCAAAGGCCAGGCTCGAGCACCACGGAGAGAGCGAGAACTGACCCTTGGCTGTCAAGAAAGGATTAAACCATTTGCAGCGCGCTGCACGTGAGGGGCAAGTCAGCGCACGTGTACGTTTTAGAGACTCGTGAAAAACAGAGAAAGCTCAGCTCTAAACGGCATTCCTTGCCTGATGCCCATGGTCAGAGGGTTTCCGCAGGGGCCCCAGCCCCCAGCCTCACTCCCCAGTATCCCGTGTTGGCGCCTGCTGGAGCTCGTGCATTTCCAGAACCTTCCAGTTCTTTCCGCATCTGTCTCCACTTATCTGTTCCTTCCACTTAGAAGAGCCTGCCTGTCCTGCCCCTTTGCTGCCCCCTCGAGCTCTCCAGTGTACCTCTGGCCTCTCTTGCTACAAGGTCACTGAATCCTTTTTGTCCTGGAAGGTGCACTCAGCAGCTCTCTGAGCAGCGTGTGATGCTGGAGGCCAAGGCCAACGTCCTTCCATGGCGGAAAGGTCGCCACATTCCTCCTAAGCCAGGCCAGAAGCCCCACCACCCCAGCTGCTCTCCAGACACCGCAAGAGACTTCCTCTCTGGCTCACACACTCGCCGAAGGGCAAGGCAGGCCTTCCTGGAGTGGGCAGGTGCCTGGGCCAGCCTGGGAAGGAAAGCCAGGAGACTCCATCTCCTCCCAGGCTTGAGGGAGAACCTGAGAACCGCGAGGACACGCCGTCGTCTGCCTCTGACCCCACCCATGCCCTGTGGCCAGGACTCACGGAACATGGTCATGAACTGCTTGGGGTTGAGGTTCCAGTAGCCCCAGTTGGTCCTGTAGCCGTGCAGCGTGGCGTACTCCTCGTGGTTGTATGCGGGCTCTGTCCCGAAGGTGTCAATGACCCGGATTCGGCACCTGCTCCCCACCCGGGGGTGGGCGGTGCATGAGGAACCAGGGTCAGTAACCTCTCGTGTGTCTCTGGGCTGGGTTGCCCCAGTGAGGGCGCGGTTGCCAGGCACGGGCCCGGTACTGCAGTGTGTGGTCAGAGCCAGGGCCCAGACTACCTAGCTGTGTGACCACAGTCAGCTTCAGCATCTGTCACGTGAAGACGACAACAGCCCAGCTGTCTCGGGGTTGGGTGGGGATGCCTGAACCACGGACCCCTCACTCAGAAACTTATTATTATGGCTGCCCCAAGAGCGCCTAGGAGGGGGCACTGCCTGGAGTGGGGGTTCTTCCCCCTGCAGGATTTGCACTCTCCTGAGCATGCTGCAGCAGTAATTCAAGTTCACAGCCCCCCTGACCAAGAACTTGGCACCCCAGGATGCCCCTGGCCTATCTGGGCTGCGACGTGGAAGGGCAGGGCCCTGGGGGACCAGCCACTGCCATCTCTGGGCAGGCAGTGCTTTGACGTGTCCTCTGGGATGAAAGCTCCGCCACCTCAGAGGCACCTGCCAGCTGGACAGGGGCTCTGTCTCTGCCCCAAAACCTCTCCCTCCATCCATCTCACCCCCCGGGTGCAGGCACCCGAAGGAAATGGTGGAGACTCAGAGAGCCCCCCGCCCCAAGCAGCCTCACGTCCTTCCCAGTGACCCAGAATTGTCCACAGACTGCTGAGGTCGGCACTATTTCCCCGGAGAAGGGGTGGGGGGTGGGAGGCGGTGGCACCGCGTGCATGAGGAACACGCATTAATAATAAAACCAATAATACCGCCTGTCACTTTTTTACCTAATAAAATCATGCGGGGTAGTCACTGGGACTGGAGCTAATGTAGGAAAGAGCAGGGCTCTCTGTGCTACATTAAACCCCACATCCTGCTGACTGCAGAGGCCGGGAGAGATGGCACTGGCCTTCCTGCAGACCCGGGGAGGGGGGAGGGGGGAAGGAGGGAGGAGGAGGGGTGCTGAGACCCCACGAGCCAAGGTCATACCAGTCGAGTGTCCCATTCCTTCCACTCTTCCCTGCCATTCCCCTGTACCCCTGCCCAACCAGGTAACCTCTGAGCCCCGCCCCAGCCTGCCCTGCAGCAGAGGGGCACTGAAGAGACTCCCACTCTGAGCCAGCCAGGAGGCAGAGCTCCTTGGGGAAGGACACTAATGAGGGAGGGGGAAAACAGAGGCAGGGCAAGCCTCCCGCCCCCCCAACTGCAGAACCCAGGATGAGGCAGTTCCCCCCACCCCGGGGGGCTAGCCAGCAGGGTGTGAAGGGAGGCCTCCTATGGACATGGGGCAGGGCACCACCCGCCCGCACCCACCTACCGGTACTTCTTGAAGGACAGTCCCATGTGCTGCTTCATCTGCTGTAGGCCGTGGTAGTCGGTGTAGATGAGGTCGAAAGGCAGGGGCATGGTGAGCGGGCAGTTCCCCCGGCCTGGCGGCACCCCTAAGTTACTGAGAGATGAGCCCTTCAGAATCTGAGCCCCAGGAGGGACAGCAGAAACCCACCTTCCCCAACCATCCCTGAGTCGGGGGCACCCGGAGCCACCCCAGTTCTTATAGCCCAGGATAAACATGGGGGAGGGGGCACTGTAAAGGAATGTGAGGATGACACAGGAGTGCTGGCAAACTTGGGAAGGAAGTGAATGGGGTGGCCACGTCCAGTTGCCTAGGTTTCTCACTACACAACAAACTCCAATAAGAGCAAGTAGGACTGAGATCCAGCCTGGGCTAGTTTCCCAAGCTGTACCCCTGGCCTGGGCTACCTGCCAGGTGGAAGGAGCACCTTTTGTAAATTTGCACAAACGTGCTCCCTGCAGGGCTGGGTCTGCCCAGTGGGGGCACCTTTATCTAGGGTTCCCAAATTGCCATAAATGCTCGCTATGGTCCTTAGAGCAGTTTCAGTGTCTGAAGCAGAAAGGCCTGCATCAGAAGACAAAATTCTGCTCTGCTGACTGGCTTGTGGCCCAGGGAGATGCCCAGCCCTGCCCCACAGGGTCACCCCGCTGGCCAGGCCAGGTACACAAAGGTTTTCCTCTGGTGACCCAGTGCCAGAGCCTTTGGGGCATCTCTGTGGAGCCTAGAGGACATGGCCACAGCTGCCAGTGTGTATTCCTTTGTAGGGACCCCCTACCCCCATCCAGGAACCCAGGCTCGGCCTGCAACCAACCCTTCTGAGGGGATGGAGGCATTCAGACTGCCCATTCAGTAAGTCTGTCCTGAGCCCCTGAGCCAGGCAGGGAGTAGAAAAGCCCGCCTTTCTTTGGGGACCCCACAGCAGCCACCCACCTCCCCTTGGATTCGTGGTCCAGATGCCTGCGCTGGACGGCATCCCAGAGACCTCCCAGTGAGCCCCTTCAGGATCCATGTGAAGAGCAGACTCAGGCCGGGTAGGTGAGGAGCTAGGACAAGGTCACGGGCTCATCAACAGCAAAGGGCCACGATGGGTGAGCTGCCTGGGTCACATCTCGGGCTCCTGGAGCCCATTCAAGCCAGGTGGAAAACTACCAGCCTGGACGTCTTTGTGCTCTGTTTGCTCACGCTCTGCAGGTCACCACCAGAGGCTGGGGCGGGGGGTGCTGCGCACACTGTCCCCCAAGCACAGCGAAGTTTATGGGAACCAGATGGCAAGGCTTGATGGAAAGACGTCAGGGGAGGCTGCATGTGATATGTGATGGGGACTGAGGCATCAGGAGTCGGCTGTGCCCTACAAAGAAGGGTAGCCGGGGGCAGGGGCTGTCCCTGTGCCTGTTCCCCACCAGCCTGCGCACCCCAGACTCACCCAGCTCCCCCCGCCATGTTAGAACCTTGGCTGCTAAGTGCCTAGAGGAGAATGCAAAACCCTAATAACCAGAGTCTCCCATTTCTCATCTGATTAGAGAACACTGGCCAAGGGCGCCCTCCCAACTTGTCCAGCTCCCATGCATCCCCTCTCTCCAACCAGACTACCACACAGGATGCTCAAAACCAGGACTTCTAAGGCAGGGCAGACTTCGTGAGATTTTTTTTTTTTTTTTTCTCCTGTGGAAATACCCAGAAAGCAAAGGAGAATGAGCAGACCACAGGGGTCTGGAGCCATCACAGGAAACAGCTCCCACAGCCTGGAGACCTCATGAAATATTTGGTGGTATTTTTACGTGGAGCAGACTTTGCCTTCTACTCTGCAGGACATCCCTACATCTGTATCCAAGCCTGGGCTTTCTCTCGCTCCCACAAACTCCTCTGGTAAGGCTGATGTCCCACGAAGAAGCCACATTTTTGCTCTGAGCTACAAAAGCTCCGGGTATAGACAGACACTATCCCCTTCCCCACTTCTCCCCACTCAACGGAGAGCCATGGGCAGAAGGACAAATGATTCTGCTGTCCCTTCCTTGCAGGAACCAGGAGGGCGGTAGCTGCCCCTCCCACAGGGAACTGGGGCCTGGGAAAACTGGCCAACAATCCCGAAAGCACCAACCGTTAGGTGGGTCCGCCTGCTGCCACCTGCACGGTAACAGGCCTACTTTCCCACGTTACACGTCAGGCAACGTGTCCTGGTGTGGTGCCGACAACATCGTGCAGGCTTCCTTCTGCTGCCTTATTACTGCCCACAGCCCTGGCCTCTGCCCCAAACCCCAGGACCACTGAGAGGCCAGATGAGCAGCTCTCCCCTGGGACAAAGAGTCCGCCCAGATGTTCTAAAGCATCTGCCATCATCTTCGCCACCCTGGGGGCTAAAATGTTGAACCCGGGAACCAGGCTACAGGCTTTCAGTTTAGTAACTCGTTCAATCCTTCCATCTGGGCGACCACCCCACGAGATGAGACCCATTCTTATCCTGTTCCACTCTTCCCAGACGAGGAAACAGAGAGTTGGTAATTTACCAGGACTGCACAGCCAGGAAGCCGCGAGCGGGGACTGGAAGCCAGGCAGCCGGGCTCCGGAGCCCACACTCCCGCCCGCTAAGCTCTCCCACCTCCCTGGGCCGGCCAGGCGGCAGACAGTGGGACGGCAGGTGGTGGGACCTTAGTGCCATCCCCAGAATCCAAGCCCCGGCTGCCAGCAGAGCCTGGGCTGTGGTCCCAGTTCTGTTGCTAACCCCTGAGGGCTCATAAGCTTCCTGGAGTTTCATCTTCCTCCTCAGCCACAGACCAGTAAAAACGGCTCCCGCAAAGTGTTCCTGGTAGGATCGACCGAGGCAAGGTGAGTGAAAGTCCCACTAAATATCATTTCCTCTTGTCATCCGTTCTGCCTCCTGACCTTCTGGGCCCGGCCACTCCTTCCTGACCCCCTCCCCCCACGCCACACCCCCCTCACGTAAGGTCCTGTCCTCTGTCACCTCGAATCTTGAGATAATTTCCTCTCTGCTCTGTGTCCCTCCAGTTTTGTCTCTTTCCTAGAGAGATCTTTCCACAACGTAAACCTGGTTTTAATCCCCCTCAGAGGACTCCGCACCTCCTGGACCTTGCTTCCTCCTCTAGGAAGCCTGCCTTGGACTCCTGGGCAGAGAGACACGCAGCCCCTGCGCTCGCCCAACGCTTGCTTCAGCTCCCGCCCTGCACCGTCCAGAGTCACCTCCTTACCACTGGGGCCCATGAGGACAGGGCCAGGGCACCTTTGCAAGGCCAGGGTTGGGACAGGACTTGTCCCAACAAACACCCGCTGAGTTCAGGAATGAATGAAGAAACGAACGAAACAGGTGAACCCCCTTAGGAAGGACTGGTTAAAGGCTGACGATGTGGCCAAGGACAGCATATCCGGAGAGAGACAGTGGGTGAGGGATGCTCAAGGCTGCTGGCTGTCTCAGCTCTTGGCTCTTCGGGGGTGGGGGGCAGTCTCCTGGGACACCTTGGGACAGGGACACCAGTGCCCCCGCTTGCCCTGCAAAGCCATCCCGCAGGAAGGAGAGGAGACAGAAAATGGCACCCTTCCCAGGGGGAGTTAGTGAGGGGGCGCCTGGGGTACCCGGCTCTAGAAAACAAGGGTTTTCTATTTAAGGCGACTTCAGTGGGGAGAAGCACCCGCAGCAGCCGCATCCCTCTGGTCACAGGGACTCAGAGCCTGCTGGGAGGATGGCAGATAGGGTCGGCCGTGAGGAGGGGAATGTGGTTTCCTCGCTGGTAATTTCAGCTCGCTTTTATGGGCGATTTTATGCTGAGTGGTTGGTTGCAGCAGCAACATGAGCTGAAAAACGCCGTCTCCCGACAGCCTTCAGCCAAGGGTGCCCACGGAAGCCTCGGCTGGACATGTCCGCCCTCTGTGCGGACGTCTCAAGAGGGTCCCTCTGGACGGTTCCTTCTTCCCAATGCCAAGTTCCTCCTTCCCCTTTGGACTCTTTGCCCAGGGCTGGGTTGAGGGGAGAGGGGACATCGGGGGGCCTCCCCAGCCCCAGCACACCACAGGGCCACCGGGTGGGTGAGTGTGGCAGGGAGAACCAGCGGCTCCCCAGGCAGGGACCTCACACGCATCCACCTGGCGCCGCCCACTACGCTACACCGCGCTTGGGAAGGACGGGGGTCTACATGGAATTGCCAAACTGGGTGGCTAGAATGTATCTCTAAATGTTCCCAGGCCACCTGGGCGGGAGCCTGAATACAGGATGAAAGGGATGGGGGGAGGGGGGTGACCTCGGGAAACCGGGCTTTTCTACAACACACCTGGTTGTCATGGGGCCGCCACACCCAACCCCAATTAATGCACCCATAGCCAGCACCCTGGGGGGAGAGGCAATGGGGAGTTAGTGTTTAAGGGGGACAGAGTTCCAGTGTGGGAGGAGGAGAAAGTCCGGGAGAGGGACGATTGTGATGGCTGTACAGCCGCGTGAACGTACTTGATACCACTGAACCGTACACTTAAAAATGGTTAGGAGAGTAAATTTTGTTATGCGTATTTGACTATAAATGTTTTAAAAAGCCAAACTGTTCACACGTAGGGGCCCGTGCCCAGTCCCACAGGACACTCCGTGTCCCCAGGGAGCCCCTGGACTCCCAGCTGGCCAGAACGTAGGGAGCCCAGCACATAGCCAGAGACGGGGAAACTCAGATACTCTCTGCTAAAAGATCAAAAGGTAGGATGGGTAGATGGGGCAAGGAGGGAGGGAAAACAATAGTCTGAGATCAACTGAAGGAAAAAAAAAATCTTCAGAGCCCCCCGGGTTGCTCAGTTGGTTGAACGAATGTCCGACTCTTGATTTCGGCTCAGGTCATGATCTCAGGGTTGTGAGATCAAGCCCCGCGTTGGGCTCTATGCTCAGCAGGGAGTCTGCTTGGGATTCTCTCTCTCCCTCTGCCCTTCCCCCTGCTCGCTGGCTCTAAGATAAATAAATAAATCTTCAAAGAAAAAAGAAAAAGAATCCTAAGCAGGGAATCAAAATGCTGGGTTTTGGCACAACGGAAATCACTCCTAGGCTCCAGCACGAACTTGCTGGGTGGCCTTGGCCAGACGTCAGACTGTTCTGGTGTCCGCCTCCACTCCCA